TCTTGGTGCTTGGGGGGGTCAACAGTGGGAGGGCTTCTAATGTCCTGGCCCCACTGGTGGACCTCCTGATGGCACTGGTATTTCTGGCCACTGTGGGATACAGAGTGTTGGACTGGATGGGCCTTTGGCCTGATCCAACATTGGCATCTCTTATGTTCTTATGTTAGCTGAACAGAGCCATTTCAAGCACAGGAGAAAGTGAAAAGGCTCTGTAGTCCCTGATGTCTGGTAGTGTTTTTATAGTGCTTGTGCAGTACTCATTTCAGTGATGCAATTTGTCTACAAATGCATGTAATTTTCGGTGTCCATGCTGTGTGTAGTAAGCACATGTTGAATTATCTGTTTCTGTATTTTAAGATGTGCTGTGCTTTGTAGTGCATCTCAGTGGTATGCACACACAAAAAAAGTTATTTCTGGGTATACCAGACCCAAAAAGTATCAGTATCTACCATTATTTCCAAATCCCAATAGTGGTATGATATTGAGACTTGGGAAATAATTGGTACTGCTGAATTTATTCAGCTCCATTATACCCTATGGGGACTGTCCCCAGCTGCACCATGCGCCAGTGAACTCAGAGTTGCTGGTGACCTCACTCACTTCTGGGTGAGCTCACCAGCCACTCAAGAGTTTACTGGCATGTGGTTTTGCAAAGCTCTCTTTACATGGCAAGAAGCCATTAAAATCTTCCATTCACTCCCCCTCATTCCGGAGTGGGGGGGGGAGTGAAAGGGAGTGCTGAAATGGCTGGTAGCTCAATTTTGATATCACTGAGATCGCCTGAATAAAATCAGGTTTTTTCCCAGCTCAGCTGTATCAGTAGCCAAATGCACACACCCTAGTGCATCTACCCTTCATTGTGCTAGAAATGAAATCTATGGAGCACTCACTTTTAACATGCTGGTGCTACAAACCCAGGGTGGAAGACAAACCACACTGCCGCTCCACTTCTGACATGGACATTTTATGTAGAGCCTCATACATGCAATAACCCATTCCATGCAATTTTTCTAGCTCAAAAAAAGGGACAAGGGCTTGTGCCCTGCTATAAATGCTTTGCATTCCTTGGTTGTATGTGAATAGCAAATACAATGCTTTCTGCACTATTCTTCACTGAGCCTTACACACAGTATGGTATACTTAAAATGCAGTAATTAAAGTGATGTGTTTTTAATTCAACAAAATGGTTTTTTTTTAGGTTGCACCCCATCCGAGTTCCTGTTACCTAGAGGAAGAAACAGAGTTTCTTCTTTATGAATGTCCATTATACCGGACACCTCACAGATCTGGAATACTGTCCACTACAGGCATATCATCTAATTTTATAACCTCAATCAATCTACCAATTCTGCTAACTCCCAGCCACTGGATAACAAGAGGTGTAGCACTGCTGTGTCAATTAGATGACTGAGGAATGTTAATTTAAAAAAAAGAAGCAACCTCCAAAATATTTAGTTTTCAGCAGCTTGATGACTTATGTAAACTCTGAATGTATGGTGATAACATTCAAATACATATATTCCTTGCTCCTTTGTCTTTTTGTCTCATCATTTAGCAGCACTCTATTATAACATTACAATCCCTGCTCACTTTTTCCCCCTTCTCAAATCTATTTCATATCTCCTTGTGGTGGCAAAATCCTTCCTTACATAGCACATTCTTTTCTGAATCTAATTACCCCACATCCTAATGTTATGACAAAAACTGCATATATGCTTCTGTACACCAACTGAACTTCTAAGCTTGCCCTTCTGTTCTCTTCTCCAGCCCCTGCCTTTACGAGGAATGTGCTTTATCATTTTAGTTATCCTTTCCTGAACCATTTTCCAGCTCCTACAGGGGTGGGAATTTTTGTTTTACTGGACCCACCACACTTCCCAGTATCACACAGCCAACTGCATAGGGAAAGGCTTCCAAATTAAAACTAACCTGTTGCTTTTGTCCTTGAGGGCTGTGGTATCATGAAGAATACATGGCAAAAGATTCATTCATATGATCAGCGATTTAACTTTCTACTACACATATGTATACTGCTGAACATACATTAAGGACTTCCAAATATGACTCTACATCTTAGTATGATTCCTATAGTTTTTCTTTTGCACGGACACACCCCACATTTAAACAAAGGACCTTTTCAATTATTTGTTCACTTATTCCCATGACAGACACAGCCATGAGAGCCTGAGACTGAACAGATCTAAGTAGCTCTTAAGCACCCAATCCTGATATAATCTACCAAAGATACTTATATAAACTGGTAGCAAACATTCAATTCATGGCCAACACATATCACTCTTTTTCAAATACAGAAGCAACACTATAGTATATAACTGGATCTTCAAGAAAGCCATTTTTGATCAGCATTTTAATTATACAAGTTACTTAAGAAGTTCAATCAAAAGTGTTTATTGTACAAATTTAAAATGTAGTAATGAACATGACAAACTGCAGTTTATTAGTCAGGAGCCACACCCCTAGCCAAACAAATGTATGAACTTTAAAGTAAATCTAAAAATAGTGGTATGTTTTCAATTGGTTATGCAGTAGTACATTTTCTCCAAGTAAATAGTTATAGAAGTCTTGAAGCATTGTTCAGAAGTTTAAAAACACAAAACCAAACAAATATTTTGAAGAAAGCTGTCATGATCATTTCCAGAAGAGCTATACTATATGCACATTTCTAAAGTACAATTAAACTATTGTTATTTTATACAGTAACTAAGGCAGCAAAAAAAAAAGAAGAACATGATCTATAGGGCACAACAGGATAGCCACAGAGTGAAACATAGCCCTAGCTTTGCCCCTCCTTTCTCCCTCCCACTTGTGTGCACTGGCCATTAAGAGGGGGTATTTGTTGATCAAGTAGAAGGGATGTACTGGACAGGGATATATGAACGATGCCATTCTGATAGTGTCCCGAAATGGCGCCTAAGCACATGCTTAGGAAAACAGGGTTCTAGCATGCCAAATGGGAATTCCTCCATGCAATGCTGCACTGCACATTAAACTGAAAACAGAATTGTTGCTTAACAAGAACTATACTACAAATTCATAAATGTAAAATACAAAAATTCAAATTAAAGGGTGTTTTCACATTGTTAATTATGCTGGTAATTTATCAGCTATAAAATTGGGTTTAAAAGATTGAATTTATACAAATTATTTCTCCCTTCTAATTTAATATATTAAAATGGCAATTAACCCATTTCCAATTAAAACTAATTAGGTAAATACTATTGCAATAGAATTCATAGATGTTAAGCTACAAAGAATAGCTTCCAGCTCCAAATATGTAGCTATGAAAAACTCAAATATACAAAAATACATTAAAGTAGTTGACTTTAACCACAGATTCATGTAAAAACTGATTTAAATAGCAACTTGAAAAAATAGTTTTTCTTATTAGCAACAGTATAAAAAGGCAAATAACCTACATTTGAGGTAGCCATGCCAAATTCACAAAACTTTGAATAAATTTCCATTTTTAATGTATTTGACTTTACAATATTTCACTTAGCACTTCAATAGCTGAAATTAATTTCACAGCAATACATTACAAAACTTTTCAAAAATACTGGAAATGGTTTTAGTTTAAAAAATCATCCAGTTCTAAAAATACTACTGCATTTTATACTGTACAACAATATATTTAAATGTTATAATATAAAGAAAAGCTATAGTACAATGCAATGGTTTATAATAGCTGCAAAAAGCTAACTGCACCTATTTTATTTCATAATTTGTACAACAGTCTACACCTTGCCCTACTCATCATGAAGCTTGAAAAACTTGAAAAGAGATGCATGGAATTTTTAAAAATTCCTTTACAACATGAATGTATTGTTTATAGCACAGTGCATTATGATACATACATCACCTCAACATAAAAATCAGGCATGCTACATTTGTCACTCTGTCTTAAAATGAGAGCCCGTTTGTACTCAAGAGAGATGGGGCAAAGGAGAGACTCCTGAGTTGGCCCCTTGTAAGTTCCATCTCCTCACACCACTGTCACTAGTGGCATTAGCCTGAGGAAGTCAGTTAGGAAAGATGGAATCAGCACTACCCTGTTTAGGAAGGTGCAACATATCAAACTTAACTGGATGGAGGATTTTGCCTGCTTACAACTGGCCTCTCTTTCCTACTTTCCAAAACAAATAGTGAATATTATCTATCAGGCACCCAGTTCACATGGCATACAAAATGCCTAAAAAGATTTGCATTCACTACACAACTAGTTTATTGTTTAACAGAATTGTGTAATGAAGAAGGCAGATGGTTAATAATAGAAAAAGCTAGGCCTAATAAAGGCTACTGGTGCAGATATCTGCTAAATCACTATCTGAACATATCTTTTAAGAAAATCCAGCAGAACTTACATATATACCAAGTGCAACAGTTTGAGGTACATGGTTTATTACAAGGAAGATTTAACTGCAAAAGGTGTTTTGTCATCCAGTGATTTTGAAGAAGCTCAGTAGATGTATGGAAATATGCGGTATGGTACGCGTTGACAGTATTTTTCCCAAGCTATGCCGTATTTCTTCTTACACTGACGTTCATCACGGGCTTCTCGATGAATAAGCAAGCCAATAAAATATATGACATAAAAATATGGTAAAATGTGATTAAAACCTGTAAGACAACATGGAAAATGATTATTATTTTTTCTACCACATGCTGGAGGCCCTGGGTAGATCATAAAGTGAACATAATTTTAAAAATCTTGAGAGCTAGAGACTGGAGCCAATCCCCACCCCAATGTCAGTGGAGTAGTACTTATACTAACAACCTGGGGCAGGAATTTGTGCCAATTCCTTCTTCCCATGACAACTGCCATGTCATTCACAAAGATCCCCCTCAGGACTACTGGGGTGGGGGAGAAGTGGGCAAAGAGCTGCAAGAGGGAGGCAGCAAGAATCCATGCTGTTAATGTAATATACCAAACAGTCTTTATCTTACAACAAACTTTTCTTAGATGTTCATTTGAGTTCTCATCACTGTAAGGCACAGAGATTGTAAAGAAGAACTACCACTTTCAGACTGAGAAAGAAAAGCAGGAATAATGCTAGAGTTCAGTAAAAGATACTTCTTGCTCTTACCACAAGGTAGGGACCATGCTAGAGCCATGAGGATATCTCCTAGGTAGTTAGGATGACGCACCAAGCCCCACCAGCCAGAGGCCAGAAGGTTCTTTCCAGTTGCAGTAGGAATAACTTTCAAATCTGCATTGCAGTATGCACAAATATACATTAGAGAACACCCACCAGAACAGAACACATACTTATGTGATACTATTATGCAGAAAGTGCAGATATAAAACTAATTTGCCTAAAAAGTACTTACGAGCAAGTTTTGGATCCTTTGGATTCCTCCGAAATGCATTTTTCTGTGAATTTGCACCACGGAAAATATAATAACCAAGAACTTCATTTTAAAAAAGAAAAGAAGAAGAGGCAGCCATTATTTCCTTGTGGGAAACACCAAGACCACTGTACTATTAATAATACCTAGCATTTATACAGTGCTTTCAGTGTTCAAATATACTACCGTACCCAGTTGTAATACTTAACATCCTTGTAAAATAGGCTGGTATTATCATCCCCATATTCCATGGGGCCAGGGCTAAGAAAGAGTAACTTACTTAAGGTCATCCCATATATTCATGGCAGAGGTGAGAGTTGAACAGGAGATCTCCCAGATCATTCTCACAGCTTTTGTACCATCCCAGCTTCCCAGTAACAATGGCAAAAGCAACAAAATAATTCTCATAGGTACAGCTGTTATTTTCCAACTTTATGTTCTCTATTCTAATAGAAACAGCTTCACGGGACACAACTATACACAAACAAAAACTGTTTATCAGGTTTCTAATGTAATTAAGAATTAAGAAAAAATCCTCAGTTCTTGTTTCATCACATGTTTTTCTTGTTGTTTCACTCCAACTAAATGTGAAAGGACAAAAATCAATAGTTAACTATAAAAGAACAATTTGAGCTGATAAAATGATGAGCTTGGCCTATTCTGAACAGATGCCTGCTTTGGGCCCAAAGCTGTCACTTTTTTAAAATGAAGGTATGTTTAAATTAGTATATTATATCAAGGCAACTGATATGGATCCTATAACCTGTCAGCAGAAACCAGTTACACACACAGGTCTTCCTGGCTCTCCCCCTTCTCTTTGCCAGGGATGGGCACAAACTGGAAAAATTCAGTTCATTTAAACGGGGTTTGCAGAAAGCCCAAAAAAAGCTGAGCAGCCAAAAGCCAGCTTCCTTGTGCAGTCCCTTTAAAGCCAGGCATGCACAAGACAGCCTGAAAAACAGCTGAGCGGCGGGGAGCAGGCTGCTCCCTGCCACTTGGCTGTTTCTGTGGCTTTGGCAGGGAACAGAAAGCAGGGGTTTAAAGGACTAGGTGTTCCTTTTAAACACCTGCTTTCTGTTCTATCCACAAACTGCTACAAACTGCTTTAAAAGTTTGTGGAATTTCATGATCCTGTCATGAACTTCAGTTTACAAACCACAAGCAGGGCAAAATTAAGCACAAATTTTGCTTTGTGTTTCGGTTCATGCCCATCCCTACTCTTAGCAGCCATTTCTGATCTCAAGAAAGTTTATTCCTGGGGTTATAGTAATAAAAGGTAAAAGGCACTCTTGGCCACAGATGCCATCTGCTTACCCAGCAGTAGGACTGGGTTTAAGAGCACCAACAAACTATTGCACTTCAAGGGAAGTGCAATTCCATCAAGAACAGATGACACCTTCCACCCAGCAGTAGCCTTGTTGGCATTAAGCTTATTAGCCTGCATCCACGCCAAAACTTCCTGCAGGCCTCCCTGGCATCAACTGGAAGTGTGATATAGTGTCACCTGCATATTGATGATAACCCAGCCCAAATCTCTCGATGACATCACCCAGCAGATTTTCCAGAAATGTTACATTTGTGCCATAGGTTACAGAACATTAGCAAAGACCAGGAGCCGCCCCCCCGGTAAAGGCATTTATTGTGAAACTCCTAATAATAAACATTATAAAAATGTTAAATGATTCATTAACTGAATGGCTTATTTTTCACTGTTTTACTGTATTAGGAAAGGCTCTCTCAACTGATACTATTACTCCATCTACTGAATGTTCCTTTAAAAGGTCTTAAATACAGCTTTTATGTATAGAAACATAAAGTAATACATTTAAACATTATATATCACTTACGATTCAGAGTCAAAATTGCGGTAGCTGTAGGCCAAGAAACCTCATAAGGATGATTCACTAAATAGAAGGCTTGTAAGCTGTAGAGAAAGGGAACCCAGACCAAGTCTCCAAATGCTAGCATGAATCCAAGCCCATCATGGGTAATGTCCATAGTTGTCAAAATAGCTTCCTAAAAAGTTAAAGAATAGCTGTTAAACTGATATTTAGGCAGCTTTGGTTGGATCCTGCAATCCATGGACAATGATGCTGGATGGCAAACGTAGTCATGAGTGCACAGATCACTACAGGCTTGACTTTGGTTTCAACACGCCTCCACTGATATCATGTTATAGTGCAAGGCATGGTACAAGTTAACTGGATAGTCAGCATTGGCTAATCTGTTGTCATAGACTGTCTAATCAGAGTTTGAGGGTAGATTTGCATGAACAAAAATCAAAAGCAATAACCTTCAGAATTCAGAAAGGTGCATAGTTCATGCATTGCATTTCTTCTGTATTGTTCATGCATTGCCTTAAAAGAAAGTGTATGTAACACTTGTTTTTGCTATCAAGAGAATTATAATTATGTTCGGTGAAGTCCTTCATGGTTCTCTGGTGTGAATCCTCCAGCCAACCTTTTTGTGGTGAGCAGACAGAAAGAGAAACATTCGGCTCCACTGCTCCAATTTAGCTCAGATAAATAGTTACACGTATGGGCTTTTGTTCATTCCTCGTGAACAGCATAGAAAGCCCTGCTTATTATAGACCAAAAGAAAGGACTCATTAATCCCAGATATAAACTAGGGTGTACCAGACAATGTTCTACATACAAGAATGTAGTGTCATTTCAAAATTAGGGATTAGGCTGTCACAACCTGCAGAACCACTTTATAATGTACACTTTGCAATAGTTAATAATCATCTACCTTTATAGGGTTTATATCATCTTGTCCTGATAATGAATGATACTCTAGCATGCTAACTAGTTACGTGAACTGCAAGCATGATTCACAATAGAAACTTAGAAAAATTATTAAAAACTGTGGTCTATACTACTGTTTATACCTTGTTAAAACCAGGATCCTACTATGGAATTCTACATCATTTAATGTGTCATGCTAATACCGATACTTTGCTTCAGTTCTGTTTTCAGACTTCTGGTTGGTTCTACAACCCTAATCCTATGCCCCATCCATTGACTGTATTGATTCACTATGTGTACACCACCTTGAGTTCAAGTAGGAAAAGCAGACTACAAATCAAGTAAATAAAATAAACTACGGATAGAATTAAGTTATTTCACAAAAGTCTTTCCCTCTTAGTGTCAGATTTATTTCAATTTCTCAGCTGCAAACTCCAGTTAAAGCTTTCCTTGAAACAGAGTCCCTGAATTTATAATCTATTTGTTAATGCTCCTACATCTATAGGCAGGGAAACATTCTGAGCACTTTTTCACCAGAAAGAAAAAACCAACAGATCAAAATGGAACCAAAATCCCATTACACCATGATAAAAATGGACTAACAATTATTTACTCCACAGAAGATTAAGTAAGTAAAAAACAGATGTAAAACATCTACAGGAATTACAAAATGTGCCCAAAAGATAAATAATAAAAATATTGACAACAGTAAGAAAATATATACAATAATAGGAAAATATGTGTAGTAGTGGGAACAGGAATCTGGATATAATTCCATTTCAACAATCTTCATCTGCCAAAGCTTGGGTCTTAACATACTGAAGGAAAATCCTAAGTAATAAGAAATGAGCTCTGCTAGTCAAACCATTTATAAGTACGATAACAGGCATGAGCACAAATTTAGAAAAAGCTAACACTGACTGTGCTAGCTAAAAACACTTTTTATCATGGTGTATTGTAATTTTGGTTTGCACTTTTTCACCAGACCTTTCCCTCTTTGGTTTACTGAATCAAATGAACAGGAAATCAATATGCTTTTAAAGATATGCAAACATATAAAGCATTGGTCTTTAAACTTTCAGCCATTTAACTAGCATGTTAATAATTGAATAGCCTGAAAATTGAGATACCTCATTCCAAAGAGCATCCACCACATACAGGAGCTGGAAACTATTAACTAGTATCATTGACAAAGACGGCATACTCTGATGATGCACTTTCATCTCAGTCAGGAGCATTGCCAAGTTAATAACAACCTTTAAAAAACAAAAGTTACACATTAATGTCACAAGGTCTTACTCTTACAACTTTACAATAGTATCATAATCTGCATACAGTAATTTCTCAAGTATGTGCTACAGGTGCTGACAGGAAAGCTTTTCCATTATGTATGAGCAAAGCTTTCAACTCTGTTCAAGTAATGCTAAAACTGTAACACTGCTATTTCATTTTGTACAGTATGTTGTTCATTTTAAATGTAACAGTGCTATTTTCAGTACTCATTTTGTACAGTATGTTGTTCATTTTAAGAACTAAAAGCTTTACCTGTAACATCAAAAAAGATACAAAAACAAATCTAATTTCTTACCCAGCCAATTAAGCCTGGTCGTAATTCACAGAAGTATTTCAGGTCAAAACTTCCAATGCGAGGATTTAACTCACGCCCCATAAAGAAGTCATAAATTATGTTTCCTACAAATATGAAAATCATTAGTATTGGCTGTTGCACAGTTATAAGCAATTTTTATAATTCGCAAAATATCTTTAACTTTTCCTGTTAAAATTTCTGAAATGTATTCCATGAGCTGCCCAAGACAGAAATCTTCTGCTATAGCAAACAGCCTACTTCCAGGTTTGCAGTAGTTCTCTAATTATTCAATTAAAAGTCACTCTTGCCCTACAAAGACCTAATTCGGATTGAGAATGGCCATTCATCTTGCCATCCATGCACCAAGGTCTGGACAACAAAAAAATTAATTCACATGTCAAATTCCCTTTATTACTGAAGTTCACTAAAGCCTGAGCATCTTTCAGATGTAATGCAAGGTCTTTTAGTGGCAGATGAGGGCTTAATTGGAAGTAGAGATCTGAAAAGAAATGAAAAGGTGGAGCATGTAAAAGGGTTTAGTGCTTCTAAAGTTGGGAGAAGATAAAAAGAAGGATTTCTGGCTAATGATTAGGCTAAAGGATAACTGTAATAAAAAATAGACAGAAGTAGCTTGAGGGCATTTTAGCAGGTTCTGGAACTCTGTAAGTGACAAATTTGGTGTGTGTCGGTTTGTTCTATTACCTTAAATGCTTTGTTTTTTCTGTTATTTACTTAAGGAGCAAGAGTTTGCTTGTTTCTTATCCTGATCCTGGTGCATATCAGCAACCACAGCTCTCTTCAAAAGCAACTGCCCAGTCTCCAGAGTATAACTTGACTAATCTATTTCCATTTGTTTTAATTTAAATGGTTAGCTCTACAGACCCTACACATAGAATAGTTAAGAGTTTAACTGCAAAACTTAAAAAGGCTTTAAAAGACTTTGCTTAATCTGGGATGCTTTCCCTGGACATTGTTGCCTAAACAAAAAAGTTTTCTTTGATCACAAGCTGAGAATTTACTTTTTCTTGTTGTCATTTTAGTGGCCAAACACCTTTCAACCTGTCTGCAAGAAAGCATAACAAAAAAGCCATAATCCTGAATTCAAAACAAGATGCTGGACAATATACTTTGACACAGAATACTACTGAATCCTAAATTTTCTTCAGGGTCTTATACACAAAGTTCTATTTACTCCCTTTTATCATTCCTTGCTATTTGTATTTCTAGATACAGACACTGTTTCCCACAACAAATGCAATTTCATGCAGAATTTCACCTCTCAGGAAACAACTTTATATTTACTTTATTCCTCCCATACTGCAATTTGAGCCCACATAAATGCTTCCACCAGTTGCATCAATGAAGCAACACAGAAAGGATCCACATCTATGATCTCTTGCAAGATAGGCATATGCCAAATTTCTCCCAGATTTTTAAAACACTAGTGCTAAATTGAAAACAGATATGAATATATGTTGTCGAAAGCTTTCACGGCCGGAGTTCATTAGTTGCTATAGATTTTCCGGGATGTGTGGCCGTGGTCTTGGCATTGTAGAACCTGATGTTTCGCCAGTAACTGTGACTGGCATCCTCAGAGGTATAAACACAGAAAGATGGAGTACTCTCTGTGTCAAGGTGAGAAGAAAATGGTAGGCAGTAAATTTATATCTACTCCAGAAGGTGGGTAGGGCTGAGTCATTGTCTTGTAGGAGTTCCCCAGGCTATGGACGTGCTAATGGAGGAGCTTTCCTGAGGAGGTTCTTTTGTTTCCTGAGGAGGTTGTTGAAATTGTAATCTTATCTGTAGTGCTATTGTTGTGGACAAGTTTACGACGGGACCACACAGCGTAGCATTCGGACAAGAATAAAAGAACATGAAAGGCACTGCAGACTTGGCCAACCTGAAAAATCAGCAGTGACTGAACATAGCCTAACTCAAACAGGACACAGTATTTTGTTCCAAGACACTGAAAGGTTGGACAACACTTTCATTACCATGTCAGATTACACAGGGAAGCCATTGAAATTCACAAACATAATTTCAACAGGAAAGAAGAGAGTTTAAAAATAAATAGGACATGGTTTCCTGTCCTGAAAAACACAAAAGGCTTTACATCAGACAATAGCACTACAGATAAGTGTCAGATTCAAAAGCAAGTAGATCTCCACACACGTTTCCAGGGAAGCGTTATGCTTTATTAGACTACAGGTCTGTTACCATGTCCACAGGGTTACTGTTAGGAATAACAATAGGGCGGAACCATCCCTTCATATAGCAGGATGAGGCAAATGGCTAAGCAAATGAAATCTGAGTGCGCGGGGGAATTCTCCTGGCGGGGGGTTACATAATAAGCGGGAGAGTCTCAGTGCTCCATGAGAGCCGAAATATTCACACCAGCCGTGGAACGCAAGCCCTCCCCCCGTCACAAGGTCAGACAGATAACTCAGTCTGGCAGCACTGGTTCTCACGGTCTCCCTATTGCTGTTTATGGCAAGCGGGCAGAGCAGCGAGCAAGCGAGGAGGCATGCACCGTAGCGCCAGGGTCAGAGAAGGGATCAAACAAAACATGGCAGCTATCTGACAATAAGATTAGAATTTCAACAACCTCCTCAGGAAGCAGGAAAGCTCCTGAGGAAACAAAAGAACCTCCTCAGGAAAGCTCCTCCATTAGCATGTCCATAGCCTGGGGAACTCCTACAAGACAATGACTCAGCCGTACCCACCTTCTGGAGTAGATATAAATTTACTGCCTACCATTTTCTTCTCACCTTGACACAGAGAGTACTCCATCTTTCTGTGTTTATGGCTCTGAGGATGCCAGTCACAGTTACTGGTGAAACGTCAGGTTCTACAATGCCAAGACCACGGCCACACATTCCGGAAAATCTACAGCAACTAAAGATATGAATATAATCTACTTACAGCTTGTAGATCATATCTCCAGACAGGACATACAAGAAAAAACATGTTTATTTGCAATGACTAATTAAAGCAGAGAGAGCATTTTGCATGAAATGTACTGATAAAATTAGACGACTCCAATTAAAATGTTCCATTGCAAGTTTCAAGACAAAGAATACAGGGAAGGCAGAAAAGACATTATAGTTTGCAATCATGTTTTCACACACAACAATGAAGGAGGAAGGTAATTTCTGTAACTGCCCACACACACTTACCAGAATTCCCCCCAGGTGACAATTCCTCCTCAGATGATTTCAGGGAACGGACATAGAGATAAATGCTTAATATGATAGAGAAAACTGTAGCACTGATCGCAAACTGCAGGAAATGGTTGTATAAATAATAAAGCTCCATTTCAAAATACAGACATATTCCTAAGGCCACAGTTGTTAGGATAAAAGCATAAAATCCTTAAAGGAGAAAAAAAAAAGAAACAGCATGAGAAAATACAGCATGGTTCAGACACTATTTGAGCAAACCGAGAAGCCTTGCACAATCCCTTTTCTCTAGCTTTCTCAGAAAGTTTTTGGCAAGCCTTAGTTTGCTGTTAAATGCCAACTAGTCAGTATATATTTGTCCTATAAGCATGGTTATGCTTGCCCTATAAACCAGTTTTCTAAACGGTGCTTGCTTCCAATTTGGGATACTGGCTTGGAGGACAAGCATAAATCAGTTTGCCTAACTGGATGCAAAGGCTTGCCTAAAACCTGGAAAAAATGAATTACCTTGAAGCCCATGGGGAAAGCAGAAAATGGAAGATTTGTATTCACTTATTGTGAAGCTTCCTTTCTCGGTGGTCCGGGAGTGTTCAAGTTTAGTTTATTGTCTTAGCCATTGGCCATAACAACACAAAATAAATCAAAGCACAACCAACAGTATACATCAGTATACTGGTCCGGGAGTGGGGCAGCCCTTACTCTTGGGAACAGGCTC